TATTTTGAATTACAGTGAATAGAACACTTCAACCAATTATGATGACAACTTACCTATTCATCTGTTCACGTGATATATCATTCTTGTTTGGGTTTACTGAACCATAATGGCAAATATCATTGAAATAGTCCAACTTGCAGAGAAATTTTTCTATATGAGTTGTTACAAATATTATCCATTTATGTAAAAGGAAAACCAAACACCAAAATGTAAGCAGTTATTCTAATGAGAAAGAAGTACTAGGAAATTTTGGAGTTTATGATCAAGTTAACAAAATCTAAATGTTTATTAGGTAAGTCAGGTAGCCCAAAGGTGCATCCCCAAACTAAAGATATCCGACAATTTGAAACAGTTAAGTGTTTGTACTAAGATGGATATTTATATTTACAGAATTTAAATCATGGAATACTGCAGTTTAAAAGAGAAAATACTCCAAATCTGGTGCACACATAGCTTTCACCATGAGTTTTAATCATGAAAATCTTGATTTGCAGGATCAGGTCACTGACATAGATCCAACAACTTAATTAATTTAAGTTAGCATAACAAAAGGATTAACAAATCTTCAGTGTGAACTATTGAATTAAAACAGGGAAAAGAGAAGCTCTTATGTCTTACTTTTTACTTCCAGTATTGGTTTTCAATGTAAATGATTCCAATGATATCTAAAGTTATTTTCAGATTATTTTGATTACTATCTAAAGAAAATAAAATGCTGCAGTTAAAGCGGATAAAATGGTATGACTTCATACACAATGAAATTTAGATGAAGCAAAGGTACTTGGTACGACATCAATTTTTCTTAGATGGCTCTAAGTCTTCAAGGAAAAAAACCCCTCCAAATTCTGTATGGAGGAGATAATGTAGCAATATTATGATGTAGGATAGTTTATTACCTAAACAGTATGTACAAATTCTAAACATGAAAATAGTGGGTAAAAGAAATCAGACTCTATTTACATTTTTTTTACAAATTGTTTTTACAAGAAGTGTATTTTTTTCTCTAAATAACAGGACAAACACATAAGACCGATCTTTTGTGTATTACAGACATAAATAAATATTGACTTTAAATGACTGTTATAGAAACATAATTTCTACAGCCAATTTGGGTAACAGAGAAGTAGTTCTGTTACCGCTACTACAATACAATTAAGTAAAAAGGAAAAATTTTACATATAGAGCTCTGTTAATTATTTTGTAAATTGTACCTTACTAATATATTCAGTAGAGGTAATACAGTCGTTACATTTCATGCCCACAACTGAACAATGAGTTTTGGCATGCAAACCCATATATAATCATCAACATCTGCAGGTATTCATTTACATTTTTTTAAATAAAGGGTTTTCTTTATTATTTAAAACTACATGCAACAGCTTATTAGCATTATATTCCTGGTTAAAATGCACAAGTTTGCATAACATTATTTTTAGTATTGATGTTCACAGGTACTGATCAAAAGGGTAGGAACATACTTGGCACATGGTATAAGAAAATGAATTAATAAATAACTCAATATCACAATGACATTTACATATACACAAAGAAAAATAAAAATTTTTATGGTGTTGTACACAGAATTTAGAACTGTCTGGTTCCCTCATGTTGTTCTACAAGGCCCAGATTTAAGAGAGTATTCAAGCAAACTTTGACATCCACGCTTGATTTGAAGCATCACTAAAGCTCATTCTTAGCTGCACAGGTTTACTTCCATTCCACTGGGGTCTTTTGTGCATATGGAAGTTTCGTCTTCTGCATACCTTCCTAAATCAGGACCTGCTCATTTGAAACTCTCCCTGACTCCAGCTGGGAGCATGGAAATGAAAGTATTGTGGAATAAATTGACTCAGTATTAAGCTTTCTATACAGTTCTGCTAATCCCAAGGGTAAAGTTCCCATTCACATTAGCAATGAGCATTTCTTTGACTTTGTGTGTGACAATGTCAAATATTAATGTTAATGTTATCATTGCCACACCATGTCCTTAGCTCTTGCTGAAGCCATTAAGTTGAAGATGTTCAGCATTTCAGAAATCAGACTTCTTATTTTCGCCTATGTGCTATATTCCTAATGAATATTCAAGATGATATGCATGGATGATAACAGCACAAGTTCTGTCTTATTCTCTCCTGCTCTATAAACAACTCAAAAATGGTCAAAAAAGATATAACAAGAACAAACCATTTTCTTCTTAACAAAAATCACCAACAAACAAACAAACAGAAAAATCCACTTCACAAAGCAGTTAGCAAAAATAGCATAATCTTATAATTCTCCTTTAAGAAATAAACAAAATTCATCTGAAGTCAACTGACAAATCCATCAGAATCGTACATAACAAATAATACATTAGTGTAAAGGTGCAGAGTATCTAAAAACATCCCAATATCTCTAATATAATCCCAATATTAGCTCTGTATCACATAACATCATTAGAGAAAATTAATCTTTAGTGAATCAAGTAGCAAACTGCAATTCTATTGCTGAATTAAATGCCTAATGTGGCTTAGTAAATTAGGACAATATCCTGTCTGATTCAGCAAACAAGACTTTAGAATTAGGCACTAAAAATTTCAAATCTGTACTGCTAAATTAAAAAAATAATCATGAAATCTCAGTTGGGAATTTAACATCCATTCATGAGCTTTGTTGACTTTGTACATTTTGGTTTTGATTTGGAGGGTGATTTGAAAGGTGAATTGATAAGATCATTTGTAGAAGGAAAAAATATTTTACATCTTAGTGGGCTCTATATAATACACTTGTTCAGTATATTTCTACTTTATCAACTTTTTTTTTGATGAATCTACTTCAAAAGGGAAAACCTCTCGATATTCTTCAAAAGTACATTGTTACTTTGAAAAGATGAATGCTTCAGAGAGACTGGCATCAGCAAACAGTAACCATTTTGATTCATTTCAGAGGGATGAAGCTTTCCCTCAGCAACTGAGTCTAGCTAGGGGTGTGATGACTCAGGGCTCCTACGTTCCTGTTTATATCCAATCCAGATTTGGCATCATTGTAATAAAGACCAACATTCCTGTTCCATGCTTTACCATGTCAGTACAAATGAAATGTAATTTCATTAACATTAATCAAGTCACTGCAGATTTGATCCAGCACAACTAGAACAGACTGTGATTGAAAGGTTTGGTCAGAATTCTTCAGAGAAGCCTGAGGTAATTACTTTCCCTGATCCTGCTGATCCAGCAAATACCAGGAAGATCACTTCTAGACTCATCTACGCCCTGTGCAATCCAAATGTGGAAGCAGTGCTGCGCACCAGTCCGATTCAAATTTTATTTTCTTTATAAAGACTTATACACATGAAACATTTCCATCCTGACAAAAATCTCTCAGACTCTGGTCTTCTGCCAAAACTGAAAATAAACCTTTATTCTACAGATTTTTTTGAAGAAGTGTTCATCTGTTTATTTGCTAATGTATTTTGGGAGATGACATAATAACAGAAGAAGGAATTAAAAGCACCATAGCCTTTAACATTTTTAAATTACTACTAAAGGCCCAAACCATGTAGCAATAAAAAATTTATGGAAAAGTTCTTGGTCACTAAGTGAATATCAAAAAAGACAAGCAGCAAAATAGAAAGAGAATGGAAAAGAGACCTTTAAAACCGAAGGTAGAAATGTAGAAAAACTGAGATGAGCAAGTGATCAGAAATTAATAGTGTTTCCTTCTGGTATAATCCACATGAAACAAAAAGCTATAAACTTCAGTATAGACAAACTGAGTATTTTGTCTATACTCAGTTTCATGTATGTATTTATTTTCTTCCACAAAACAGTTTGTTATGGAGAGAAGGAAAATCTATTTACCACTAATGTCTGAGCTCCTTTCACTGAATATCTCAGATAAATATGAAGCACAGGTGAGCCTGTAGAATTTGCTGGTAGAAAAAGGGGCCACTTTGTCAAGTGTGACTCAAGTGTCTGAGGTATGTCAGCCTCATGTGATGATTCAGGGAGCAATGGACACAGTGCCAAAGAATGCAGGACCACTTTGAACATCCTGAACATTAAACGGTGATTACAGGTATTTGTATGGTTGTTTATTGGCAGATACTTTCCACCCTCTCAATAATAAATCCAAGCAGTTTCTGTTTACTATTGAGATACGTGTCTCTGTTTGACAAATTACTCTGGACAGTTTATATTGCACAATAAGGCAATATGAATTCCCTTATGGTTAAAAAGGGCACCCTTCTGTCTAAATTTGAAAAATGCATTCAAATAAACTATAAGCCAATGTTTTCCATATGCCAGAATATTGTCACATAATTCTTTCTGTAAGCAGAACAGCAAAATAGAGCAAATACATCCATCCTTCTGTTCTGAAGTTCCACAGGGAAAAGAAATATGTGCATCAAAATTCAAAGCCAAAAAGTAGCTCTACAGCTACTTGAATAATAAATGTGCCTCACAATTTCAGTTTCTAAAATGTTAATGTTAACTATTCAGATTTTTAACTAGAAAACTTGTGGGTTTTTTCAAGATAATATTATACCCTGAAATGTTATATATCAAAAAAACGTAAACTGGATTTTAAAAGTCATTCTTCCAGGACCTATCAATTACTTGCATTCATTGCCATCAACTTTAAACAATTACATTAATCGCCATTCGTTTCTATACAAAGGTATATCTACCCTGTATATCCTTTAGCTATTAACTATATTAATAGAAGATCTATGTGACAGAACATTACCACTTCAGACCAGATGGATATACAAATGTATCATCATCCTCCTCCATGGTGACACTGTAATTATTAAATATTGGATACTTTAGGGTTACTGCTACTGGTATTTATTTTACTTATGTCCTTATTTCAGATATATGAAGATCTTCTTTAACAGCAAAATACAATATGGCTTAAACTGGTGACAGGTAGGGCTTTAAGTAAAATAGATCATTTAAATCCACTGATGAGAAGCTGGCCTCTTTCAAAAGTATGTATACATCACAGGACTACCTTGCAAATATTAACATTGAATTCACTAAGAGAAAAAGCTGTATACACTGCACTGTTTCAACCTACTTTAAACATAGAATATGAAAACAATATGATGAACACACTTCTAATTTTCTCACAGGTGTTGAGATGGATGCAATCCTCAGTTTCTTGAACTGTGGTGGTAATGAAGTGATACTTGCTGTATGATTCATCTGGGTCATGGTGCAAATATAATTTTTCATGAATAAACTACAGAGAAGTAGATACAGTCATACAGGATGGTCACTTCCATTGGAAAACTGGGTTCATTGCTATTACAGATATGCCTTTTCCCAGACCTCATTTGGGAGCTCAGTTTTTTCTGCTCAGTTATTCGTATCTGAAACAGCCTAATATTTCTCAGGGGGTGGCTTGTAGTGATGTGCATGATGCTGCTTCAGATGAGGTCCTAAACAAAAAGAACAGGAAAATATGCACATATCAAGTCCTGCATATGTAATGCCAACATTTATCCATACTTAAAAGGCTTTGTGAGACCTTCAGTTTGCAGTCCTTCAGCTTGTAAGTGAAATACCTGTGCTGACAACTGTGTGCATGTTCAGTCCAGAGAACTTTAGTGGGGCTGTGAAAGGACAGAAAGATTCAAGCAGATAAGTCTTGAACTAATTAATTACATTTTTCACTTGGCTTCTCAACACTGAGCTGCACTTTTCAGAAACATGTGAAGTGCTGCAAATGGCCATTAAGAGATTTGCACTGCTTTAGAAATACGACCAGGCTCCAGCCATGCTGTACTGAGCAAACCCAGAAAAATCTAATCTTGAAAGTTAAGGAATGCCAGGCCTAGGTAGCACCTGGAGGACAGACCAACTTTGAATCCCAAGTGCTACAAGCATAAGCCAAAGGCAGGCTCCGACCGCCAGGGATGTGTGCATTTATCAGACCAAAAACACCCCAGGCCTGCCCGGCAGTTTTGGTGACTCCAGATAACCTCGAGCTGATCACACACTCCCGCAACCGCGACGACCCATTCAAACGCCTGCCCTGTGATTCTGTGAACGAGTTGTGGTTGAATGAATGGCAAATGGTCCGACCACAGAAACTGAGTGAGAGAAAGACTACATTTGCTTCCATCATTGCTGATGGATAGTTGTGGGGCAAAAAAAAAAGCCAGTATTTTCCCCACATCTTAAGTTTATGGAATGCTACTAGAATCAATAAAGACTCTAAGGCTTGAAAACCTGTTTACATGTGGAGGATTGAAGTTTTTGCAACATGTCACCACATGTCAGAACAGTGTAGTACTTACTGTGGGGTGAAAACGGAGGAAGGTCAGGTGTTCGGAACGATTTAATCGTAGCTGGCCCTTCCCCACCAGTCGTCAGCACTTGAACTTCCAAGCGGTACAGCATCGATGGCCTCAGATTGGGCACAGTGAGTACATAATGATCCTAAAATTAAATAAATCGCTTTAATTCTCAGAGCATCTAAAAACAAAACATGGTTGCTCTACTCGCACACATCAGTGGTTTAAACAGGTTCTATCACTCTCAGCACCCACAAATCACTTTCTTAGAATTCCGTTACAAGGATTTAACATATGCATCACTTTGTTGAGAGGGTTTGTTTTGAATTTTTTGCTTGCCATTCCCTTTGAACACTCTTTCACCATAATATTACAGTTTCATGTCTAGAAGGTCCAAATTGTTCCAGAGATTGTTGCGGAAAGTGGACAGTGTGCTCACCACTAAAAGATGAATAAGAATGTAACTTCTAAACATTCTTGGTAACAAACATGTTCATTACATAAACTTATTTTTATTTTGGATCTGCATGTGAATTCTACTAATTGGTAATTTAATTAGTGGCTGGTTTAGAGTCCCTTCTGTGGCTAGTGAAAAAAAAGGGTGATCACACTGATTTCAGATTTGTCCCAATTACACTGCAAGAATTTGTCTTTTTAAGGCCATTTCTGGCATGATGGACTCACTTTTCACTACTCCATACCTTTCATGGTCACTTAGACCTGTGTAAAATAATTTCAGAATAATTTCATAGAATGTCCCAGATGGCTAAAGACTGACAGGTATTACAGAATCAGAAGTTATTCATCTAAATCAAAATCTAAACTATAAATCAAAACATCACCTGTTGTGAGCTGTTAGAAATCACTCATCTTATTCCAAGCTGAAAAGGCCCAGTCCCAGGAAGGGGACAGTTGGAGCAGTGAAGCCAGACAGTGCAGGCACAGTGTGCTCCTGTGACCTGCCAGGCTGGGCTGGCCAGGAATTTGCAGGACAAGTTATTCTGGTTGGCACTGTACCTGCGCCATGTGGGGAAACCAAAGCGAGCCGTGGGAATAACTGATAATTTGCTGTTACTGCCAAAGCAGAAAGTAAAGGGAAAAAGACAGAGAGGAAAAGTGGGGGGAAATGTGTAGTTTTACTGGCAAATTAGCATGTATTCTGAGAGGGGACTGCCCTTAATAGACCTTGTTGAAGCTGTTCCACCTCATATAAATACTGAACGGGTAAGAAAAAGAGAGAAGAGTGCATACATTGCACTCATACACACACTCTGCTCATTCAGGTGCTCCTCCAGCAGTCAGGACCCGTGCATTTCAGCCCTGGTTGTGTAAATGCAACATTTTTAGTCAGAATGAATGATCGTCACCATAAAATACCCTACATTTTGGTGCTTTCTGAGAGGTAGAAAATACTGTTTCCACTCAAAACAGTTTTCTACAAGTTAACTGTGTGCAATAAATAGACAGATAGACATAGTGATAGATAATTAAAGGAATCTCCAGGCTCTCTAATAATGAAACTAGAGGAAAACAGATAAAAAACTGAAGCCCAACACAATGAAAAGGAATGTTTTAAATAAAACTTCATATATATTTCGGATCTAACTGAACCAAAAGCCTACAAAAAGGAATAGAAATTCTAAATAAAACATACACCTGCTCCTAAAAAACAAAGATGAAAACCAAAGTGAAAATTAACATCTCATGGTCTGTGTACTCTGGCAGAGCTGGCAGTAGAGTTTGAATGAAGGTCTCTTCACCTGCCTCTGCCAGAGGAGGAACTTAAATAGCAAAGGCCATTTTGAAGAAAATAGGGGGAAGAATTAAAATTGTTAATGGTCACACTGTCAAAAAACAGTGAAATCTACTTCTCCTTAAAATTATTTCTCCATCAGATAATGGTGCATATTGGTGGAGGGGGAAGTGGTTTTTATTTTTTTTTAGAGTAATGAGTGACTCAAAGGAAGAGAAAATTCTTTTAAATTCATCAACAGGGACACCAAATAATTAGTAAAACTGGCCAAGTTGAACAGCTTGATTATGAAAAGAAAATAAAAACTATCTATTGCTACATCTCTTCCTCTTTTCAGGCACTTGTCAGATGACGATTGCCAATTTGAAAATTAAGCACACCAAAATGTTTGACTTGTCATCAAGAAGAGCAGCTATTTTTGTATCTCCACCAAGGAGGAAAAATTAAGCACTTCCTGCTCCAACTTGCTTGTAGAGCCAGAGTGTTTGACATCTGCGCCACCACTAAACGCTAAAAATGAGCCACATACACATACACACACTTATGAAGCCGCTAGCAAAAGGTAACAAACAACTTACTGCTGGCAGTATCTGTGACTGCGAAATGATGCTGTTGGGTAAACTGTTCTGCCGGCTTTCTGTGGTCACTTCTGCCCAAGTGACTTGAAACCCTGTCATGGGCTGGTGAAGGTCTGCCTTAGATATCTTCCAGGAAAAATGACCAGTGATGTTACCTTCCTGAACAATGAAAGATGCAGATAGATTCTCGGGTTTGGCCAACACTTTGGGTAGAACTGGCACTACAAATTTGGAAAGCAAAAAAGATAAGCTAAACTTTGAGAGATAATCTTCAATAACATTCACTTAATTTCACAAATCAAGTCAGCCAGAGATCTCTTTTTGGTGTTTCTAATACTGACAGGATCCAGTCAGCTTTCTGGCATCACTTTCAGTGTTAACCAAAGCCTATCTTTGATAAATTCCACTGGCATTTTGAGCCAAATTCAAACTTCATATCAAATCCTGCAGGTACAGCAAGGAAAGCCTATGGCATGTAAAGATCTAAGTGTCTCATTCACAGGCAGCCATCCTCCTGCTCCTCATATTTCAGAATACCTGAGCTCCAACTGAGTTTTGGGACCACAAGAAAACCCACAGGATAGCATAGAATTCCATAATTCAGCCAAAAAGTAAAATTCATGCTCTAAAACTGTAGTACAAGTTAATAGCAGCACTCTGACTATGGGAAAGATATAGCTGAGTTGTAGTTGCCCAGGAAGGTTGTACTGCTGGAAAATGTCAGGAGGGGTGGTAAGGAAATGGCAGTGGTGGCCAGTAGGACTCTGGGTGACTCATGGAGCATGGGGGTACCCTTGGGAACAGTAGGGGCTCAACATAATCGGGCTACCCTCTAACCAAAGAGAAAGGTATCCAGTCTTGGCAGTGCATAGCCATGGCTGACCTGACCTAGGGCTAGCTGACCCCAGAAGTCCTCTCCAACCAATATCTCCATAATTCTGCAATTTCCATAACCCTCTAGCTATACATTGTGATAATGCCATAAAAGGTATGAATGCCTGTATTTGTTATTTGAGAGCAGAATTAACCTTAACAAAAACAAACTGAAAAAGCAGCTTCTATCAGCACCAAAATATTGAAATGATAGGTCATGCCAGCACAATTATGTTTACAGTTATCATCCATCATTACAATACATATAACTGGGAAACTGTTATTCCTTACAAAAATAAAAACTGTCTCATAACAAATGTCATCAAATATTTATTAAAAATCCAATAAAATTACACTAAATCGACAAAACAGTAATACACTAGCCCAAATCAATACTGCTCTGTATTTCAGTTGATTTTTCACATAAGCACTGGTTATAGTTCTATTTGTTCTTAATCTTTCATTTCCTGTTTTAGAATTGCTTTTAAAGACTCTCTTTTGGTGACTATAAATGCATTTGGAACTATTTGATTAGTTCTCCAGATTATGCCTTACCTCCTTCAGCAGGACAATTAACGTGCTTGTGTTTCTTTTCTTTAAATGCAGAGCAAGGGGGGGTAACAAAGAAAGTGCTCTCAGCCTTAAAACGCCCTTTAGATTTTGCAGGCAGAACAGTTACTTTGTATTTGCATGAAAATGACAGGTCCTTCAGAATAATGTAGTTTTCCTACAATAAGAAAAACAAAAAATCACATGCTGGAAACAGAGCTCTAGGGAAAAAAAAAAAGAAGAAGAAATTGAGGAATAAGATTGGCAAAAGATGAAAACTTTTCTCCAAAAAAATATTTTCCTGGTATGCTTAACACATGCCAACATGGTTTTTACTTAGAGAAGAAAGTAAACATTGCCAATGTTATGATTATTTTCAGTAGTAAAGTATATTAGCATGGTATTCGAATATGTCCTTCAATTCTACACAGTTCCTTTGCCACGCTGCATCAAAGCAACTGGCTTCTAATACTTAGAACAGTCTCTCTGAGTGATGGCAGTGGGGGTAGCAATATGAGATATAAATGCTAATTGAATTAAATAAATGTAAGTTAAGCTGCTGTAAATGACAGGCTTCATCTATGTTTAATTTTTTAAAAGCACATTCAAAGTTCAGCACGGCATTATGGATGCATTTTTTCCACTTCACTACATTAACTACTTCTATATTCTTATCAGGAAGAAAAGCTCCACATTTAAACTACAAACCACAAGTCTCTGTTTAAGGACAATGAGTGGAGAAGAAAACACTACACAAAGTGTGTGTCCTGACAAATTCTTACGGTTGTTTGAAGTACTTCTGAAAATCACAGTCTGAAAGCTTTGGCACAAATCACATACGGGAAAAAAAAATGCTGGTTTGGTTGGGTTTTTTCCTGGGAAAATGTCCAATAATACCTTACTGGCTAAGGTCAAAAGACTTTCACTACCTTTTAAGTCTTTAATTCCCTTCAGAATGACTAATTTCCCGTGCTCTTCTGCATAAGTCCCTGTTTTTTCTAATTGCAAACTGGATTTGCATTTAACCTTCACCTGGAAGGTCATTTTTGATGGGACATACAGATCAGGCTGAGAATGGACTTGACTCCCTGCCTTCCTCCTGCCAGGAGAGTGCTCCAACAGGCTTCATGTCTCCTTAAAATTGTGACAGGGCTATTTTTATTTATTGTGGCAAGGCCTAAATGCTCAACACTGAAAGCTTAGGGGTTTTACCCTCCTTGACCTATACATATCCAGTACTAAACCTTTTGTAGTATCCACCCTCTTCTGTTTGCTTTTAATTATTTTTTCTTCAAAAGAAACAGTTTCTCAAAGTAGTTTGGATGAATTACCACAAAATGATTGAAAGGAAATAAATTAATTAATCCCACAATGCATTTGGACAGATGTATGAACAGTCTTTCCTGACCTCTAGTGGAAATAAACTTCTTAAATGCTAACTTTCTCTTATCTCCAATGTGCATATCTCGAAATACTGGGAATGAACATCATAACATTACGTCACAATCATTTTTTAAATCCACCTCTAATATCTGCTATGCTAACCCCATGAAGCATTAAGTATTATGAGCTAACAGCACCCTGTGTGAGAAATTATGTTTTTTGATTTACTCTACTTTTACATGTCATTAACTCCCCATAACTGATGTGGTAGAATAGATTGGGGTAAGAAGGAAAGGTGAACTGTGATTTTGTCCACTCTCCATAACCCACTAAATCAACTGTGATGCACCAATCACATTACTATGTTGTTAAAATAATGTGTTACAGAAACACATAACACTAGATTGCCAACAAATTGAGAACGAAGAACTGCCATGCAATATATATTTGGGCTGACATGTACTTATGTGGAGCTTTTCTTCTTATCTGATATCTGCCTGACTTCCAGATTTAATGTCTAATATTTCTCACCTACACTCCTTTTTTTCTTATACCTATTGTTCTCCTCAGGGTTGTGAAACTCACCTGCATCTCTGAAAGAAAACCTAGTTTATCAATTACTATTATTACTGTTCAGTATTTGCATTGTGCTAGAGTCCTACATTACTAATTTCAGATAAAGCTCCATGTTTATATGCTGTAGAAATGCATAAGTACTTAGTTAAGAAATTTACCAGGTCTCATTTTCTGAATAACAACAACAACAAAAAATTTTAGCCTCGTGTGGATTTAAAAAAAACAGACAACCCAAAACAGTCTAGATGCACAATTTTTACCTTTTGCCAAGGAGGGACATAAAAAAGAAAGATCCTTACTTATTTGTGAAGCAAGGTATTAAGCATACTGTGTTATGATACAGAACCATCCTTTCTCATGCTGCTTAGAAGCTATTCAGAGTCAAGCAGAAGGCTGAATGAAGACTTACGTAAGTCAGCTCTGTTACTTTCCTAAGTCCTTTGGTATCATTGTGTGCACAGGATTCCAGTAACCAGTGGACTTGGAACTGATTCATGCTGATATCTAAATGATATAAAAAGAGAGGAAAAGACATATATTATAAGTATGCTTTCACCATTGCAACTTTTCTGGTTTCCCTGGATGAATATAGAAGGAGTTGTAAGTATGGTACATCCTTATCTGTACCTAAGAAACCTTTATATAATGGAGAAAATATTATATACCAAAGTAATTTAAACTTTGTATCAGCTAATGGAGATAAATTTAAAAACAGTGAAATGGCATTTTCAGATACGTTAGCATATACTACTTACATTTTCTTTAAAAATAAAGAATTTAAACTGAATTTACACTAGAATTTACACTAAAAGAATAATCTCAATGCTACTACTTCTAATCATCCTGCAAATAATGGGAATGACTTTGTGACAACTGCTTGACTCTTTATATTGTTAGAGCATTGCAATACTGCTGCCTGGAACTGCTTGAAAAATCTGTGCCTGAAGATATGCGAAAATGCCTGTAAATCCCTGAGTTTTCACCTTTCAGAATACACCATAAAACCTGTTCAGTATCTGTCCAAATAAAATTCTAGTCTTGACTTTTAGGACTTATATTGAAGGCTTGAGTTTACTCCCATTTAAATCAATGCCAAAACTTGCTGCAGTATCATTAGGTTAAGCTTTCGACTTATTTCCAGCTCTTCTAGCTTTTTGTCTAATAATGCTTGAATAAGGAAGCAAAACAAAGAGCAATAAAGAATTTAACAAAAGAAGAAAAACTCATTAGGTAGTGCAAATAGTTTCTGACATTTTTCTGGATTTCATTCTCTATACAGGGGATGCAAAATTATGTCTGTTATTAATTAGCTTGGTATGACATAGCCTCTAATGCCAAGTGCCTGATTGTGGGTTTCAGGAGGGAAAACAAATATCTTTGACGCCTTAAGGGCTGATCTGGCATTAGACTGCTATGAGCAATTTGGATGCAGAAGGGAAAGATTGTAAACTACAGAGAAAATAACTAGTGTGTGAAACTAGCTGAAATGGCTCATTGAAATAGATTTTTGTAGTGGCTGTCTTCATAACAATAGGTATGCTAATTATGTGTGTGATTTCTTTAGAAACAATATTTCTTTCAAAAAGAAATCTATAAAAAATAATGTCCTGCATTGTGATTGTTCCCTCCATTTAAAATAAATGGATGTGCTCTTCTTTTCTCTTCGTTGCTGGGCTTTCCCAATTGATGTGCCTATTGGATGGAGGCACAAACTCACAGTGTATTTTCAAGTTGGTTTCATCTGATTTTATCTCTTCCAGTGTGGGACCCCTGGTGGCCTAGTGGTTAGCATGCGGGACTCTCACTGCTGCGACCCAGGTTCGAATCCCAGTCCCCTGGGCAGATGGAGCTCGTTAGCCCTGTGAGGCCATCCATCTATGACAAGGTCACTCTAAACAAACCTACGTCCTGAGGACCTCACTGCCATTGTCCAAGCTTGCTTGGCCCCGGCCCCGGCAGATGAACCTTAGGATTAAAGGGTGGGCTCAGTTCAGCACATGCTGTGTCTCACCTAAAAAATCCATTGCGCAGGCTGGAAAGGTAAAAGACCTTTCCCAAAATCTTCGTTCGCGAAGACTGGCCATTATTATTATTATTATCTCTTCCAGTTCACTCAACTATTGCCTACCACCTTCTAGATGACCCTTAAGGTCCCTTCTGACCCTAACCATTCTATGGTTCTATGATTATTTTAAACTACCTGCATGGGTGGGCTGCTCTTTGCAAAGCTACAAAATGGCTATTTTCATTTGCAATAATTTTCACTTGCAATCTATAAATAAATCACTCTATTTTTGGTAGAGATTTTTCCAAGCCTTGTAATTATCCATCGATCAAAAACAGGATAAAACACATATCTGAAGTAGGTTACTGAATATTACTACATGGGTAACTGTGGAAAGACAAATTCCAAGCATCAAGACCTTACAACAGCTGAGCATTCAGATATATTGCTGTAGAAATTTATTAGGCCTCTGTTCCAAAAAGTAATTTAAGATAGAATCATAGAATCATATAACTGTTTGGGTTGGAAGGAACTTTAAGGATCATCTATTTCCAACTCCCCTGCCACGTGCAGGGATACCTCCCACCAGACCAGGTTGCTCAATGAACCGATCCAACCTGGCCTTGAACACCGCCAGGGACAGGAAAAATATTTGTTATTTTCAGCTACTGTCACAGCAGAATTCTGTTTGATTATAAGGCAGGTCCATCTCCATTCATTATGTGAGCTTCTGCTCTCAGGTGGTTCTTTTCTTCCTTTCTACTTTTCCTTTTCTGCATTAGCAAACCCTCAGTAGACCATTTGTAAACAGCTGTGGTTTCTGATAACTTCTCTATTTGAGACAGAAAATCAGAAATACGTTTAAACAATCCTATCAACTGTAAATTTGTAATTTGTACTGTAAATGTAGGATGAAAGTTTTCAATAAACAATTTCAGAATTTTATTTGAACAAACGGATCTTAGATTTGATAGTGCTCACATCTGGTATTCTGATAACAACCCATACTGAAAATAGAGGACCTTTTTTTCTTTTCAGTGAGTATGCAATTAAAAGTTATCTGAAAAAGGTTTTTGCATACATATATACAAGTATATCAGCTGTTATAAACTGGAAGGCATCATGACAGCTGGAGCTGATGCTTAACTGCTAAGTTTATCCAAAACATTTCATTAGAACAGGGCTTTATGACTTCCCTGAACTTTTACTTTCAAGATTAAAACTCCTCTGATACTCACTTCCACCTTTATAATGTCTGTTATCTAAAAAAATTGAAGATACACAGGAAGCCTGAAAAACTGAAAACGTATGTGCATGCATGTAGTATGCATATTAAATGACAAAAATGTTTTAGAAATTAATATTTTTAAAAGCAAAAGGAGACAAAATGCATGGAAGTATCTAAAAGGTCACAATGAGAGAATTTAAAAAAATGATGAAAATATGCACTTGTTTTTTAAAGGTGCTCATAAAGCTCATGTCTCTCAAGTTTTATGAAACACTATATAGCTGATTTTGTATTTACAACACACACAAAAGAAAAGCTTCTCCCAGCCTTCCTTTCAGCAATACACTCCTAGTGAGATCACTACTATAATTTTACTTATATTTTTGGTTTTAGCTGTCCGTTACAAACTCGGGGATAGGTACTGGAAAAGCCATTTGAGCTGCAGTCTAGATGAATGCCAGCCGCTGCCACCAAATTAAGTCCAGTTAAAATTAATACATTGAGCAAACAGGCACACCTTTTTCTGAAAAGTCATTTGAGTAGTTAACATTAACACAATATTCATTACCTAACAGGGCTTATTTTGGACAGTTTTATGAGAAAGCTCTGCTATCCCTTCTGACATAGGGAATATAACACTGACAAGAAACTGCCAGACTCCTTCAGTCTGCTTCCCTGATTTTTCAGATGTCACAGTATAAGGCCTTTTTGTATATAATCAATCTCCTTCTTACTAGTTTGGAGTTTTCTTGATTCTATACTTCCAATTAGCAGTCTTTATAAAGCTTGGTAACTTCATTGTTCTCATGGTTAGAAAGTCTATCATTTGACATTAAAAAAGTGATGCTTGCACAAACAGCGAGCATTTGTATTTTCCAGAATTCAGAATATTTGTATAGAAACACTGAACTTGAAGTACATAATAAGTACTAGCACTCATCTGAGCAGCTCTAAGCTTGTGAAATTAGTCAACAGACTTACTTAAGTAAGAACAGCAGACAGCTTATTCAAATAATTACTTTTATTTAAAATTTATGTAAAGTGGGAAAAAAAAAAGACAATCCAGGACAATTACTTTGAAAATCTCTTAATGATAATGACATGGAAATGATCTCCAGCTGCCCAATCTAAAGATTTTTAGATCTATAAGACAGTTGCACATAACTAATCTTTTCAAATAAACTAATAGTTGCTGCTAATTACTTTGATTGTGATTTTTAAAGTAAATTTTCTAAAGTATAAAATGAGTTCCTAGGCTTAAGAAAACATTTCTATACAAACATCACATGCACTTAGCTCTTTTGCTCAACAAAGGTATGCAGCTAAGTTTGTTGGACAGAAATCTTAAATCCTAATTAGAAACGTATGGATCAGGGATGCTCTAGTGCATGTGGGTTTTTTTAATTTGCCCAAAACTGCCTTTATTCTCACGAGAATCTCCACAAAGCTCTCTATCAATTGTGTTTAGAAAGATATTCTTCACCAAATTTTCTGTTTTCTACCCCTCCCCAATTTAAACTCTTTAGTTCCATTTTAATAAAAATAAAACAATATATTTAAAATTTTTCTGGGTGGAAAATGTGCATTTATTCTGTAGCTTCAAGCTGTAAAAATAGCTCAAAATCCTATAAATGCCAATGCCTAATACATCTGTTCACCACTTGGAAAAGTTCAGGTTATTATGCCCAACTTAAGCATCTTAAATTGATAAGTACCAAGTACTGGAACGAAGCCTAAGCCATGGCTGCACGATGGTTACTAGGAATACCCTAGGCCTACATTCTACACTTGCTAAATCTCACCATCTCCCAGAATTTAAAGCTCTGAGAATCATTCAGAAAAATAACCCAGGTAACTACAACTTTTCCTAGATGGAATTTCTGGTTTAAATGGTTCTACAGTCTATTGAAAATAAACTAAATTTTAAACGTGATCTCTTTCCCTCATCTTTGCCAACATTTTCCACATTTCTGTTTTGTACATATACATTACTGCCAGCCATATAAATAATTTCTTCTAATGTGGTTTCTTTTTTTTTACCATGCTACTGCAAACAGCTACTTTCTCTGCCTCAAATACTTTATTTGCTTTATATTGCAATTACTGTTCCAGGAGGGTGCCAACTTCACAGTCACAAGGAACTGAAGTCTGTTTTGTAGCTAAAAAACTGGCATAGCATGGGCATAACAGCAGGGAAATTTGTTCATGCAGCTCAACACCACCAATATGGACCTACTGTCACTCCAGGAGACCAGGTAAACAGATTTAAGA